CAAGAAGACAACTTGTCATTACTTCTCCTGGTGCGTCGTCTGCAGGTAGCATGTCGGCGTGGAGTACATGGCGTACATTTGATGTTTGAAGCCTTCTTCATTGACAAAACTGAAAAATATAATTACATATATTTATATATATTAATATAAACTCCAAATATTGTAATGTGTGGTTCATTTTAAATTGTATAACATATAACGAAACTGTTACCAAGAAGACAACTTGTCATTACTTCTCCTGGTGCGTCGTCTGCAGGTAGCATGTCGGCGTGGAGTACATGGCGTACATTTGATGTTTGAAGCCTTCTTCATTGACAAAAACTGAAAAATATAATGACATATATTTATGTATATTAATATAAACTCCAAATATTGTAATGTGTGGTTCATTTTAAATTGTAAAACATATAACGAAACTGTTACCAAGAAGACAACTTGTCATTACTTCTCCTGGTGCGTCGTCTGCAGGTAGCATGTCGGCGTGGAGTACATGGCGTACATTTGATGTTTGAAGCCTTCTTCATTGACAAAACTGAAAAATATAATTAATATATATATATATATATATAATAACATATACATATTTATGTATATTAATATAAACTCCAAATATTGTAATGTGTGGTTCATTTTAAATTGTATAACATATAACGAAACTGTTACCAAGAAGACAACTTGTCATTACTTCTCCTGGTGCGTCGTCTGCAGGTAGCATGTCGGCGTGGAGTACATGGCGTACATTTGATGTTTGAAGCCTTCTTCATTGACAAAACTGAAAAATATAATTACATATATTTATGTATATTAATATAAACTCCAAATATTGTAATGTGTGGTTCATTTTAAATTGTATAACATATAACGAAACTCTTACCAAGAAGACAACTTGTCATTACTTCTCCTGGTGCGTCGTCTGCAGGTAGCATGTCGGCGTGGAGTACATGGCGTACATTTGATGTTTGAAGCCTTCTTCATTGACAAAACTGAAAAATATAATTACATATATTTATGTATATTAATATAAACTCCAAATATTGTAATGTGTGGTTCATTTTAAATTGTATAACATATAACGAAACTGTTACCAAGAAGACAACTTGTCATTACTTCTCCCGGTGCGTCGTCTGCAGGTAGCATGTCGGCGTGGAGTACATGGCGTACATTTGATGTTTGAAGCCTTCTTCATTGACAAAACTGAAAAATATAATTACATATATTTATGTATATTAATATAAAAACTCCAAATATTGTAATGTGTGGTTCATTTTAAATTGTATAACATATAACGAAACTGTTACCAAGAAGACAACTTGTCATTACTTCTCCCGGTGCGTCGTCTGCAGGTAGCATGTCGGCGTGGAGTACATGGCGTACATTTGATGTTTGAAGCCTTCTTCATTGACAAAACTGAAAAATATAATTACATATATTTATGTATATTAATATAAACTCCAAATATTGTAATGTGTGGTTCATTTTAAATTGTATAACATATAACGAAACTGTTACCAAGAAGACAACTTGTCATTACTTCTCCCGGTGCGTCGTCTGCAGGTAGCATGTCGGCGTGGAGTACATGGCGTACATTTGATGTTTGAAGCCTTCTTCATTGACAAAACTGAAAAATATAATTACATATATTTATGTATATTAATAATAATAATAATAATAATAATTTATTTTTATCTCAGACATAGTCCATATTTAAATATTAGTAATACATGTCAACCTTATAACTAATGTTAGTAAAAGCAAATGATAATAATAATAATAATAATAATAATAATGAAAACAAACAAAACAAAACAGAGACAAACACAAAAGACAAAAATCGCTATTTTGAGGCAGCGTGTAGCCGTACCCAGTGGCGCAGTATTTCAAAGTCCCAGCGGCCAGCCAGTGCACACAGAATGCTGTTCGAACTGGATCGCAACCTCTGAAGCGCAGATGCACTCCTCTTGCGAATAATAGCATAAAAGCTATCAACACGCCTCTCAGCAAACATTTCGGAGGCGCTACAGTAGCGCGGCAATCCGAACAGCACTCTGAATGCATTGTTGTACTGAACTCGCAGAGCGCTGTACGCGCGCTGCGTATACTTAACCCAAAGGCTTCAGGTGTAAAAGGATTGGCAATATGCCTTGAACAAAGTTAATTTTACACTCTCAGTACACCGTGCAAACCTTCGGGCCAGCATGTTACAGCGCACGGCCAGCGCCCTGCGCTCTCGCTCCAAATCATGGTCATCGCTGAGGTTGTCTGAAACCCAGTGACCCAGATACTTGAACTGTTCAACTCGTCTTAAAGCAATGCCACCAAGATATAAAGGTGGAACATTAGCATAAACTTTCTTACCAGCTTTAAACACCAGGAGTTCACTTTTATTCGCGTTGTATCTCAGTCCATGGGCTTCAGCATACCTCTCACATATGCTTAATAATTTTCGTAACGCGCGCCGATTGAGGGACTCATCAATACCATATCGTCAGCGTAACTGATGTTATTTACGCAGACGCCCCCCACGTGACAACCGATACCGCTATTACCCAGCTCTGCAAGCAGCCCATTAATGTACAGGTTAAAGAGGCGAGGCGAGGTAAGGCCGCCTTGTCTCACACCGCACTCCAACCCATACATATCCGAGTGCTCGTCAGCCCATTTCACGACATTACATTGGTTATGGTACCAATATTGCAAAACAGAGGTAACTTCGAAGGGTACATCTGTCTCCTTTCTGAGTTTATTCCATAGTATATCATAGTCTATAGTATCAAAAGCCCTAGATAGATCCAAAAAACAGGCATATACAGGAGTTTTTCTAGCTGTATAGTACTGTACAGTCTGCTTGAGGCAAAAGATGGCGCTCTCTGTAGAAAGACCGGGTCTAAAGCCAAATTGAGAATCGTGAAGTTTAATATGCCTCTCCAAATGTCCATCAAGCAGCCTGTCCAAAACTTTAGCTATGACCGTGGCTAGTGAGATCGGTCTATAATTGGCAACATCAGATACATTCCCTGTTTTATTTTTCAATATTGGTACCACTACAGTGTGCATAAGATCCTCCGGCAGGTAACTGTGGCTCAGACATAAATTAAAAAACATAGCGAGAACTCTCGTCAATTCAGCTCCAGCATACTTCAGATGCTCAACACTCAGCCCATCGTGACCAGGCGACTTTACCACGCACCATTCGACTTAATACTTTGCTTATATCGTTAGCAGAAAATCTAACGGCCATTAACTTTGGTTGCTCAGTGTTCAGCATCCGAACACCAGTGCCGCTCGGTAGCTCAGCCTTGAAATGTCGTTTAAAGATGTTTGCTATATCTCGGGGTTCGTGCGAGCCAGCAACGCTTACAGGACGGCTATTTGATATTGGGTTTAATTTATTTGTTGTTTTCCAGAATTTACTAAAATTTTTACCAGCGTGATGACGCGCTATTATATCTAATTTTATTTGATTTTGATTATCCTGACATAACTTTAATTTCGATTTAAAAATTCGTCTACTTTCCCTCATGTCGTTATAAACCGATCCCTTCATCTGCTTACCTGTTTTTAACCAATTTTGATAACATAACCGCGCCGTCCTGTGAGCGAAACTGACGTGTTCGTTCCACCCCGGCACGGGTCTATGTTTTCGGAAAGTAGGCCCTACATAGGAGTTCACAGCCGCCTCTCGAAGTATTTGAACAACATCTTTATACATTTGGTTTAAGACATATTTATGATTTATTTCACTACAAAAACTATCACCGCATTTGTAAAAATGTTCGGGTAAAATAATTTTACTTAGTTTATGTTGACAAATTCTCGAATATTTACTGATCTGTTCTGAGTTTCTTTCCCCCCATATGACTTGATTAACCAATAATTTAGGACATATCAACTTAGGTGTTATTAGGTGAAAATCACACTCGACAATTAAAGGTAAGTGGTCAGACCAGTAAACATCGTACAAAACTGTTACACTACGAATCGAGCGCCTGGCCGCGTAGGTCGTTACACAGTGGTCGAGCCAGCGCCGACAGCCGTGCGAGTCACTTACAAATGTATAGCTATCCGGAGGAAGCATTTCTATGTCCACACACGACCACCTTTGTTCGACACAGAAGTTCAATAATTCATTTCCAAATAACTCACCCGGATGCGCATTAAAGTCACCAAGCACACAGACTCCACGTCGTTGCTTTCTATTAACGCATTTATTTCACTAAGGCACTCCGTATATTCGATTAGGTTTTCTGGTTTCGCGGTTGGCATATATACCGATATAACCATACTCACTCGACCCCCATGCACTATTTTAACGGCCGCCACACGAACATTAACACTTTTTATTACTGTTACGCACGGAAACAATGACTTTCTCCATAGCAGAGCCACTCCACCGTACGGCCTGCCTCTCAGGACTCCAACCGTCGTATCCACAGCAGAGGTACCGGTATAAGCAAAGCCATCGTTGATGGTACCTAGGTAGGACAGATCATGTGGCATCAACCAGGTCTCCTGCAGCGCAACGATATCCGCCTTAAGGCAAAGCTGTCTGATACAGTCCGTGGATCTCATAACGTTCTTACAATTAAAACTAATAAATTTTATGGATGTACTTTTATTCATTATGGTTTATTTATTTCTCGCTTGCCTTCGGACTCTTCGCCCCTTCGACGAAAACTAATAAAACGACGAAATGAGACTCCTTCCGGCCAGAAGTCGTCACACAAAAAAACGTTTCAAGTTTATACTGGGGCACAAAAATTTTAAAAGCACAATACATTTTATCGTGTCTCATATTCCACTTAATTAAATTAACGTCGAGATTTGTTTTATTTTTAATATATTTTAAAATATCTTCTGCTGTTGTCTGCTTTGAAACATTGTAAATGTATATAGGAATACTAATATCCGCCGCTTTAAAGTTGTTATCTGGCTGGACAGCCGCTTTTCCTTTGTTTCCCATAAATCGATTTTTATATCTTTTATTCTGAACCAGTTTCCACTCACCCGTTTTTCGCTACAGTTGCAAATGATTTCTTTGATTTATTAGCAATTACTTGTGTGTTAGAATCGCCGGTAAGTTCTAAAGTATCGTTGTTTACAATAAGTGTCGCCCTCGGTAACGATTTATCAGTGGATGGGCTGTGTGCGGGGCGCGGGACGGGCGGTGACCCCAGCTGATTCATATCAAGAGTAACGGTTTGCATACTGTCCGCTGATTCTTTGTTTCGTAACTGTGTACATTTTGTGTCACTACCCTCATTTGTGCAAAATACATCACTTTTATTTAAAATAGGAAATATTCCTGTAGGTCGAAGTGTATCTACGGGTTTACTGCTAAGTTCAAGGCTATTAAGCAAATATGATCTGCGTTTATTATTAACCAGATTTTTATCGTTACAGTTATAATCGTCCGGAATATTCATACTAATAGGTTTTGATTTTAGTTCTAGTAATTCTTCTTTGGTTGCGTAATTATCTGAAATCCTGTCTATATCCTGTCTTAACTTAACGAGATCCTTGAGGATCCGAGTAGCGTCCAGGTGATCGAACAATACTGGAGGTAGTTTGTGTAATTCCCGAGCCACAAAAATGGGAACTAGCTCTGGATCACTTTCTTTAAGACAACAAATAATATCCTCTATATCTCTCAACACTTTTCCTTTCCGCTTTCTCGTCTTTTTCTTGCTGTTTAAGATCGAATCAAAAAGTAAATTCTTCGCTATTGTAATTTCGTTTTCTGAAAACGCTGTTTCACAGATTCTACAAACACTGTCCTCGTCCATGACGTCTATTTTATTGCATACGAATGCAAGCACTTCATTAATAACAATGTTGCACGAGCTACATTTTACCGTTGTAATTACGTGTTCACAATTGTCTTTTGCCTTATGACTCATCGTTCTCAAACCGTACGCACTCGAGCGCATGCGACACACGACTGATTAATATAAACTCCAAATATTGTAATGTGTGGTTCATTTTAAATTGTATAACATATAACGAAACTCTTACCAAGAAGACAACTTGTCATTACTTCTCCCGGTGCGTCGTCTGCAGGTAGCATGTCAGCGTGGAGTACATGGCGTACATTTGATGTTTGAAGCCTTCTTCATTGACAAAACTGAAAAATATAATTACATATATTTATGTATATTAATATAAACTCCAAATTTTGTAATGTGTGGTTCATTTTAAATTGTATAACATATAACGAAACTGTTACCAAGAAGAGAACTTGTCATTACTTCTCCTGGTGCGTCGTCTGCAGGTAGCATGTCGGCGTGGAGTACATGGCGTACATTTGATGTTTGAAGCCTTCTTCATTGACAAAACTGAAAAATATAATTAATATATATATAATAACATATATTTATGTATATTAATATAAACTCCAAATATTGTAATGTGTGGTTCATTTTAAAGTGTAAAACATATAACGAAACTGTTACCAAGAAGACAACTTGTCATTACTTCTCCTGGTGCGTCGTCTGCAGGTAGCATGTCGGCGTGGAGTACATGGCGTACATTTGATGTTTGAAGCCTTCTTCATTGACAAAACTGAAAAATATAATTACATATATTTATGTATATTAATATAAACTCCAAATATTGTAATGTGTGGTTCATTTTAAATTGTATAACATATAACGAAACTCTTACCAAGAAGACAACTTGTCATTACTTCTCCCGGTGCGTCGTCTGCAGGTAGCATGTCGGCGTGGAGTACATGGCGTACATTTGATGTTTGAAGCCTTCTTCATTGACAAAACTGAAAAATATAATTACTTATATTTATGTATATTAATATAAACTCCAAATATTGTAATGTGTGGTTCATTTTAAATTGTACATATAACATATAACGAAACTCTTACCAAGAAGACAACTTGTCATTACTTCTCCTGGTGCGTCGTCTGCAGGTAGCATGTCGGCGTGGAGTACATGGCGTACATTTGATGTTTGAAGCCTTCTTCATTGACAAAACTGAAAAATATAATTACATATATTTATGTATATCTAAGCGCACGGTAGTGCGCCGGCCAAGTTCCACAGGCCGGCGCATGTCGTGCACTATATTTACACGAACCGTTTCGACCCACTTTTGACCCCCCTGTAGCTCAGTGATTATTGCAAGTACAGAGATAAAATTTTACATACTTAATCATATACTAGTACTAAAGCAGTATGCCAAATTTCATAGATAAAGCTTCAGTAGATCCTGAAATATGACCCTGTGAAAATAGCTAATTTTGGCACTGACTCACTGACAGGTAATCAAAACCTCTAGGCCACTTCCCATTGTTTTAGCATTTTGAAATTTGATACACAGGTTGTTTGTTATATGTAGATTAAGAAAAAATTAAGAAATTTAAGAAATCGGTCAAGCGTGAGTTGCCTCAATTCTAAATATCGAATTTTTAATAAATTCGACCCACTTTTGACCCCCTGTAGCTCAGTGTCTATTGCAAGTACAGAGATAAAATTGTACCTACGTAATCATATACTAGTCCTAAAGCAGTATGCCAAATTTCATAGATAAAGCTTCAATAGATCCTGAAATATGACCCTGTAAAAATAGCTAATTTTGGCACTGACTCACTGACAGGTAATCAAAACCTTTATATAGGCGCTCAGCTCAGCACAATAAAATACATAATAATGAAATATTAATAATTAATAATATGAGTACATCTATCAATCGTTGATAAATGAAACTAAAAAATAAAAAATAAATATAGTTTAAGAAAAACTAAAAAACACGCTCCAATGATGAAAGAAACCGCGTGGAAACTAATTTATAACGTTTACAACCTTGGAAATCAATTTAATTTAAATTGTTTAAAATAAACAATAAATGGTATTATTGAAAAAAAAAGCGTGGGGCACTTCTCAAGAACTGATATATGAAGCCCCCCACGCTTTTTTTCACAAAAATACCATTTATTGTTTGTTAATTTATTTTTAAATTAATATTATTGTGGAAAAAGTTTTGGGCGTTTCTTAAGAACTGATATATATATATAACGGATATAAAATATTGTCATGTATACATAATGCACACTGTATAACTTAATTAAATATTGCTTACCTAAAAAATCAGGTTTCTATTGTTATAAATTACTTTCGATGGATGGCGCTAGCGGTATAATTGAATCGCGATATTGTTTTGTCTGCAGTATAATATATGAATGAAAGTCGATAAGAAATCGATGGTCATTTCTTTCTATTTCTTTCTACACTTACGTCTTGATATCTTATATATGGTTACGATTACGATTAAATGGATTACTGATTTGACTTGCTAAAGGATTAATTTTGAAATTGCTTATTGATTGATTACTTGTGTGTGTTAAAAGCACAAATTCACTCTATTTCTTTTCTACTATTCATTTACCAACGATGGAATTTGTACATCTTTCGGTGGTTGGCGGAGATATACCACATAGGGTAATTCCTATGCCATCAGATGGTAGCTGTATGTTTCATGCTGTAAGTTATGCATTGTACGGCTGTATAGTACGATTTTATGTACGATTTCTTGAAAAAAAGTATTGAAATCTCACCAAAAACATGTCTGTTAAAAAGGGGGCCAAGTTCCAATCGGCTAATTGTTTGCCTAAAAAAGGGGTGAAATCCAATCTAATGCCAAGTTTAGATGCACTTTGAAATCGATCATAATCATCTTCATCAACAGCATGATCCACTGGTAAACATTTGCCATTCCCAAGACTCGCCACCACACCCAGTCCTCTGCCTTCCGCATCCAGCCACTACCCGCCACCTTATTCACGTCAACGGTCCATCTGGCCGAAATTCACTTTACCCTACACCCAACTCAAAATATGGTATAGTTGTGAAAATACGTAGGTGCTTGGTTAAAAATATCTAAAATTAAAATACTTCTAAATTTGAACTTGGCAGGTTTTTGTGCTGTACGTAACACTTAATTAATTGTATCATTAATTTATTATTTAGTTATATAATTATTTATATAATTTAAATATTATATAATTTAAATAATTAAATTAACCTGCCAAGTTCAAATTGAGAAGTATTTTAATTTTAGATATTTTTAACCAAGCACCTACGTATTTTCACAACTATACGATATTTTGAGTTGGGTATAGGGTAAAGTGAATTTCGGCCAGATGGACCGTTGACGTGAATAAGGTGGCGGGTAGTGGCTGGATGTGGAAGGCAGAGGACTGGGTGTGGTGGCGAGTCTTGGGAATGGCAAATGTTTACCAGTGGATCATGCTGTTGATGAAGATGATTATGATCGATTTCAAAGTGCATCTAAACTTGGCATTAGATTGGATTTCACCCCTTTTTTAGGCAAACAATTAGCCGATTGGAACTTGGCCCCCTTTTTAACAGACATGTTTTTGGTGAGATTTAATATAAACTCCAAATATTGTAATGTGTGGTTCATTTTAAATTGTATAACATATAACGAAACTGTTACCAAGAAGACAACTTGTCATTACTTCTCCTGGTGCGTCGTCTGCAGGTAGCATGTCGGCGTGGAGTAAATGGCGTACATTTGATGTTTGAAGCCTTCTTCATTGACAAAACTGAAAAATATAATTACATATATTTATGTATATTAATATAAACTCCAAATATTGTAATGTGTGGTTCATTTTAAATTGTATAACATATAACGAAACTCTTACCAAGAAGACAACTTGTCATTACTTCTCCTGGTGCGTCGTCTGCAGGTAGCATGTCGGCGTGGAGTACATGGCGTACATTTGATGTTTGAAGCCTTCTTCATTGACAAAACTGAAAAATATAATTACATATATATATAATTACATATATTTATGTATATTAATATAAACTCCAAATATTGTAATGTGTGGTTCATTTTAAATTGTATAACATATAACGAAACTGTTACCAAGAAGACAACTTGTCATTACTTCTCCTGGTGCGTCGTCTGCAGGTAGCATGTCGGCGTGGAGTACATGGCGTACATTTGATGTTTGAAGCCTTCTTCATTGACAAAACTGAAAAATATAATTAATATATATATATAATAACATATATTTATGTATATTAATATAAACTCCAAATATTGTAATGTGTGGTTCATTTTAAATTGTAAAACATATAACGAAACTGTTACCAAGAAGACAACTTGTCATTACTTCTCCTGGTGCGTCGTCTGCAGGTAGCATGTCGGCGTGGAGTACATGGCGTACATTTGATGTTTGAAGCCTTCTTCATTGACAAAACTGAAAAATATAATTAATATATATATAATAACATATATTTATGTATATTACTATAAACTCCAAATATTGTAATGTGTGGTTCATTTTAAATTGTATAACATATAACGAAACTGTTACCAAGAAGACAACTTGTCATTACTTCTCCTGGTGCGTCGTCTGCAGGTAGCATGTCGGCGTGGAGT